TACCCACTGACCGAATGACACGGCAGAACTATCCCCAGATTAGCCTTCTGCATCGTAATATACGGTAAATGGATTAAGGGAAATCACAAAAAGAGTAAGGTCATTAAACCACTTAACTCAAACAAAAAAGGATTGACATTTTCATTTCACATTTCAAGGCAAATGATTAATCTGATTGGAAATCGGTTCCCTAGGCTTCCCTATTCCCCAGTTTCAAATGGCCACATTTGCTGCCTCTTCACAAATAATTCCACCAAAAATTGCCCACTAAGTGTTTATTCTCTCTTAGAGCTGGGCCTGCACCATTGTGCGGTGACTGATGCTTAAAAATAAATGCTGGCGTGCAGTGTTAATGGTTGCATAATCCTATCCTCATAGCATTCCACACACGCAGATCGATAGCACCATGGGGAATTGCCCGAAAGTGCTGTGGGGCAGCAAAAGAATCCATCCGTCCCTTCATTCGCTTTAAAGCTATGGACATTCTCTCCGAAATATGTAGAACATATTTTTCTCTTTATATACAGGACACCAGTATTTGGTGTAAATAAAGTATAATTCCAAAGCATATATTTCACCCCCAAGCATCGTGTGGCTTTATTCTGATTTCTCACTCCCCAAGGCAGTGACACTATGACAGAGATTATAATTACCCTTCAAGGAATCGGGTCTGGACTCAGGTAAGCCCTTTCTGCGGCCCCGTACCACCGGATTCACCAGATAAACGCGCAAATGATGCATAACCTGATGGGCGGTGGGAATGCACTGGCCCAAATCTGAATTGTGGAGGGTCTGGACCAGGTCCTCCGGCTGCAGGCAGGTGATGGACATTCGCTTGCTTGTCCAGTTCTGCAGATTGATCACCAGATCCTGATGCGTAAGCCTAGCCAGCAAGACGTACTGGTGGTCCAACTCGTCCACATAGTGCAGCCGATACTTAGAGGACTCCCGGTTCCAGTGTATTGGCAGCAACTCGCTGCCACCTCTGCCGGGATCCACCGGAATTAGTCTACTCCCGGCGCTCATCCTGATGCCCTGCCCGTGCTCCGGGTCCACGCTCCGGAGATGATACTGCTTGGTGACGAGGAAATGGGCCAGTGCCAGCAGCAGGTCTGCCTTCTTGTGTATGCTTCGCCGGATCGAGTAGAAAAGGAGCTGCCAGCCGTAGAACTGATCGTCCTCAGAAGCTGACACCGTCTTGGCCTCGAACGTCGTGGTACCAACGGACCTTAGCGACACGAAGGACGATGGTAATGCTGCATGCGGGCCATTATCATCAGTGTCATTCATTGGTCTGCTGATGTGGAGTGTGTGTTTTGCTTGTGCGTGTTTGGGGGGGGACATTTTTAGATTTTTCCCCTGACAGAATGCTAACAGAGTACTAGGTTCTGAGACCCCTTTTCCACCTGCACATGCACTCCCTACCGAAATCTACCTCCAGATAAATTTACGACGCCTCCAATCATAGTTACGAGTATATTAATCTGTACGTTTTTCCCTTTTTGGCGCCTTTTATCTACTTTTGGTACCCACTCTTTTCTATAAATTCAAGCAAGCGAAATCTGTTCAATTCTTATGAGGGATATTATATATATGTTTATATTATATATTATATATTATATTATATTATATTATATTATATTATATTATATTATATTATATTATATTATATTATATTATATTATATTATATTATATTATATTATATTATATTATATTATATTATATTATATTATATTATATTATAGATATGTACATATCACACTTTTTGCAAAGTAGCTCCACTTCCCGTATAAATTTTCTCCGTTTTTCTCTGTTTTCTCCTGCTAAGGTCTCGCTTAATAGTATCTTGCATTTTTATACCCGATACTCAAAATGAGTATTGGGGTATATTCGATTTGTGGTGAAAGTGGATGTGTGTAACGTCCAGAAGGAATCGTTTCCGACCCCATAAAGTATATATATTCTTGATCAGCATCAATAGCCGAGTCGATTGAGCCATGTCTGTCTGTCCGTCCGTCCGTCTGTCCGTCTGTCCGTCCGTCCGTCTGTCCGTCTGTCCGTCCCCTTCAGCGCCTAATGCTCAAAGACTATAAGAGCTAGAGCAACGATGTTTTGGATCCAGACTTCTGTGATATGTCACTGCTACAAAAATATTTCAAAACTGTGCCCCGCCCACTTCCGCCCCCACAAAGGGCGAAAATCTGTGGCATACACAATTTCGACGATACGAGAAAACTAAAAACGCATAATCGTAGAAGATGACTATATCTTACAGAGTGCAAAATCTGAACCAGATCGTATAATTATTTTAGCCAGAATCACGAAAACAATTTCACTCTTTCTCGCTCTGTCTCACTCTAACACACAGGTTTCATGGTCGGTTTTGCCAATTGCAAAATATGAGTTCAAGGATCTCAGAACCCATAAGAGCTAGAGCAACCAAATTTGGTATCCACACTCCTGTGATATCGGACCTTGACCGTTTCGTGTCCAAATTTCGCCACACCCCCTTCCGCCCCCGCAAAGGACGAAAATCTGGGGCAACCACAAATCTCAGAGACTATTAAGGCTAGAAAAACCAAATTTGGTACACACACTCCTTTAAGATGTCACTATAAAACGTATATCTCAGAATTTCGCCCCACCTCCATCCGCCCCCACAAAGGACGAAAATCTGTTGCATCCACAATATTGCAGATTCGAGTAAACTAAAAACGCAGAATCATAGAGAATGACCATATCTATCCGGTTGCTGAATTTGGATCAGATCAGGTCATTTTTATAGCCAAAAGGAACAAACCAATTTGCACTGGCTACGCAGCGCCCGACGTCACGCTCAAACTGATTTTCTGTCTCTCTCGCACACACTCTTTGTCGTGTCGCTTAATATTAGCGCCATCTGCCGGAGGAGAGCCATACTGACTTAGTATCGGGTATAACTGTAGAGTTGCGGTGTCCGCAGCAACTCACAACGTTCACCCTCATTTTTTTTATGCTCGCTAGTCAACTATCTCTCACAGTAATGTAGCGTATTCTATATCCTATACATTCTTCTGGTTGCCTTCGCCCTATTTTTCTTGTACTTCCTTTATTCTCCACTTATTCAGTCTCCACATCTTTGGCGCCAGTATTCCCCATAAATTCACCACTTCACCGAGTCCCAGGATATGCTCCATCCACTCGATTGCTCTCCCAATGGTCCAGTGGAACAGTCTTCTGCACGGTCTGTGACTAGCCTTCGGATGTCTTGGCAAGGCGGCATTGTAACTATGAAGATTCAATACTCGTAGTTCCAAAAACAGCTTTATCCTCGCCGGCAACAAACGATACCCATCCATTTTCCTGTTGGTAGTTTATGCTGCAGCAGCTGCAACGGGAGAAACTACCCGATCGTGAGTGGGAACTGGCCTTCGCCTAGGCGGGCGAATGAATACACTGCCGGACTATAGGTTATTTATTAAACCCGTAAGCACAAGGAATGCGACGCAGGCTTAAATTGGATAAGGAACAAGGCGGATGCGTAAATCCAAACTACCCAAAATGGCCAGGATTCGAGGATACGAAGATGCGGCATAACTGGCCTTTAAAAATCAAATATATTGCACATCCGCGGGCGCTACGCACGCAATTTGCATACACCACACAGATTCTGACCGAGTTCACAATCGACAGCATTTGGAACCACTGAAGGTTTCACGAACGTTGTATACCCTTCCGGGAAATTTTAATTGATGTAGTCTCTTATTCCTTTGGAATCATCCTTTGGAAACTCACTTTTTAAGAGAATGAATGCCAACACTCTGTATCTCTTTCAATCGTTCCTTCTCCCATATCTTCCCTTCAATGCCGATAAAAACCCGATGCAGATCTTTATACAAATTTTCAATCCCTAATCAAAACGGATTTAAATTGGTTCCTCGACAGCGACAGGCCGTTTGAACTGTAATTGTAATTGATCTAAAAGTTAAGTTTAAATTGTATTCGAACACAGCTGGGACGCTGCTTGTGACAAGCCTTCTCTCTGAACGTGCCGCAGATGACACTTGTGTGTGGCAGGGTATGGAAGTCCACCACCCCGAGTAAACAGCTCGAGCAAGCAATTTCATAGCCTACTTAGCGGCGCACGCTGGGAGCTATTCAAATTTGAATTGGCCAGAACAAATGCCAGAACATGGGCCAAAAGCAGATGTGGGGGATGTCTGAACAGGAGTGGAGTTAGGTGCGGTTTCTGGTCTGGTTCCGGGACAGACCGAGCAGCATTTTATGGCCGTCAGTGTCGGACTGGATGCGTGTAAGGGAGACCCGAAAAACATACAGCAGCTGGCGGGAAAACTTGCGGCATAAAATGTGGCACATGTGATGAGAATGGCAACGGTGAGCGCTCCTTAATTAGATCATAGTTTCGTCTTTTGCTGAAAGAAGCCAACATTTTACGGCCAGACGCACAGCATGAGGCAGCCAGAGAGCCCTGCCCCACATCATCATCGTCATACCCATAACTTTGCGGAGGCAATGGCGGTGCCAGAGCCAAGTCGAGGCAGAGTTTTGCCAGATTATTGACTCACGCACCGCACCGCATCGAATTTCCAACCAATCAGAGAGCGGAGCAAAGTCTTGCGACCATTTTCCGCTTTCATACCGCGCTCTACTACGAGTATGACAGGCGACCAGTGTTCACGACAGCGTTTATGGTATTTGCATTTTAATTGAATTGAACTAAATTATTTTGATTAGAGCTGAAGGAAATGACGCTGCTCTGCGGGTCGGGTGAGACGAGAGCACTTGGGTGTGCTCCATGTAAAGGCCACAAAAACCCGCTAAACTTGAGAGAAACTTTCGCAGCAAAGAGCGCGAAAAAAGTTTTCCAATAAAAGGGCTTACTGAATGCACCTTAATCAGGGCAGAAATCACCCCAAGGCTATTCATCTACCCATCTTCACATCAACTACTCCAGACTTTGGCTAATCATCTTTTCACCTTCAATATCATCCATTCCAGATGAGTTCTGCGAGGAGTATCCACATAACCTAATGCCCACGCCCGGCTACTGGATCGAATGCTCGCGCCAGAAGATCAGCATGCCCACTCCGCACACCATTTGGGATGAGAGCGACTCCGAGCACGAGGACATACGGGCGGGCAGTGCCAGCGATGCGTACTTGGAGCGTGAGTGCAGCGATCTGTACGAGGACGACGAGGACTCTGAGGCCACACCTAGGTGGGACTCTTCTTTGCTTCATTCCCCCAATCCAATCCAATCTAATCCATTTCCTTCGTAGTCCTCGCAAGAAAACTACCATTGAGGAGCAGTGGGATCAGCAGGGTGCCTTCGAACTCATCTCCGTGGAACAGGAGACGTATGAGAAATATTTCTATGGCACAGAGCACTGGAATTATTTCACCAGCGACGAGGATCTTGGCCCGGTCATACTCTCCATCAAACAGGAGACGCTCAACGGACGCGACCAGTTTCGCATTCTGGTGCGCGCTGGCTCCTACACGGTGCACGGATTGATCCCAGCTTCCTGCGTATTTGCTGATCGGTATGGCCTACGAGAATACAATAAGACCTATGACATATAGACAGGGGCACCTGTTCTGACCTATGACTTCCATTCATTTTACAGATATAATCGCGAGGAGGTTGTTCGATCTTTAGGAAAAGAAGTTAATTTGAATCCCCCTCTAACACTAGGACAACTACCAGACACTCCAGAGGAGTTATTGAAGTTAGATCAGGTATTGAGCGTATTGCCCACTGAAAAGTGCATTTTATAATATATGTACATAAATAAAATCTCTTCTCGCTGCTTAGGTTTTTATAAAATCCGAACTTAAAGTTGGCGTCATATTTGTCAAAGAGGATCAATACACCGAAGAGCAAATTCTGGACAATAATGAAAACTCACCGCTCTTCGATGAGTTCCTCACACTTCTCGGCGATCGGGTGCGGCTCCGTGGGTTCGATAAATACAAGGGTGGCCTTGACACGGTACATGATCTAACTGGTAAGTGGCCCATCCCTAAGTACGCACACAAGCATAATCCAGTAAACGGCGTGAACCACTTTCCGATGATGGCTATAGCAATTCCCAAAGGGTGCACCATCAACCGCAACAGAGAATGCAACACTCACATCACTCTGTTGTGCGCAAATCAACACCAGTGGTTCTTCGTTTTCGGTTTCCTAAAGTTGTCGAGAGTTGAATTGTTGCAAAGTAACCAACGTTTGAATGTGGATCGATGAAACATGGCTTTAAATTGCATTCGTAGTCATATCTTAACGATCTTCAATTCCCAGATTCCCAAATGTGCTTTATCTGGACTAGTTCGTGTGTGTGTGATCTTTGAAAGAAAGTGATGGTTGTCTAATTAGCCTGTGATCTTATTCTTAACACATAGCTCTGAATACATATCTCATACATAACTCTCTTCCTTAGGCCTCTTCTCTGTTTATACCAACTGGCGTAATATTGAGATCATGTTCCACGTTTCCACGCTTCTGCCGTACGAGAAGCACGATCCTCAAAAGTTGCAGCGGAAACGCCACATCGGCAATGATATTGTCTGCGTGGTGTTTCTCGAGGCGGACAATACCCGCTTTAGTCCGGCCTGTATTAAGAGTCACTTTCTGCACACATTTATATTGGTAAATGCAAACAGCCTCCGTCCATACACTCCATCCGTAGCCTCCCCCAGAATCCCAATCATCACACTTATCGATATCAATCCATTAATCCATAGGTGCGCGTCTCCGCTCGCATCAAACACAAGCCGACGCGCTATGAGGTCTCCGTGGTGACGCGCGACGAGGTTGGCGCCTACAAGCCGTACCTCTGGGAGCAGTCCGTCTTCGAGAAGGGGCCTATGTTCCGGTGAGTGTTCCATTCGCGCTGACCGACTGTCCAAGGCTAACCCATCCTACATTCCGCCTAATGCGTGCATGCATACTCGTCCGTTACCTCAGGGAGTGGCTGCTAACGAAGATCGTGAACGGAGAGCGGGCCTCGTACTCGGCCCCCAAATTCGCAAGGATGCAGGAGCGCACACGGTCGCAGATGCTCGAGGATCTGGTGATGAATCTGTCCAATCACGCGGAGACAGGCCAGATACCCAAGCCGTATCGACGCGGCTCTTGGCGACCGATTGGTGAGGATGAGTATTTCAAAATGTTGCATGCTCGCGTATTAGACAACAATACACATAATGTACAACAAAAACAACAACTGCAACAATTTCAACAACAACCCCACAACAATTGTTGCTATTGCAAGGCCGAGGAATCGGGCGCCTCAAAGGGCTGGGGGCAGACAATGGCACACACTGCCGCACACAGACACACAAATAACAACTACAACAATAATGCCGAGACGCAACAACAACTACTACACCAACAACAGCCACACCAACAATTGCAACAACAACTAAATCATCAACAGCATCTGCAACACTCAACGTCGTCACTCACACACACATCGTGTTGCGCCATGTTGCACTTCTGTGTGAGGCATAGTATGTGTTTCACCCAACCACATCTCACCCACTAAACGCACCTCTTCAAGCATGTGCATTTCTTTGATGAATGAACTCTGAATATTTAAATATGCTCGCTCGCGGTCACTTACGTTTCCCCTTGCAGCCCGTCGACCATTTGCCTAATTCGGCGCAAAGACAGTATAAGAGCCATGCGGTCTGCCGCCACATTAGATATTTCTGATTAGGAGAGAGAGAAAGATAGTGATGGAAGGATCTACTATTAAAGAACTTACGTTCTGCATTTTGTAGTTCACCTTCCCATATATTATTTTTGAGGATATTCCTGGAGCCTTTTTGCACAAGTCTACCCTCTGATTCCCACTTTTAAAATGATGAAAAACAACAGATTCCACAATTTTACATTTTTGGACAGACTTTAAAAAGATTAATATACTAATCGCAAGAAAAAATTGCAAAGCATGCCCTGAAAAGAGCACTGAAAAAGAGAAACACCAAAAGCAATTGGATCCGGTTCGCTCCGTGGTGACACAGCTTCTGTGCGAGTATGTTTGATTAATCGTTTTGTCTTGCTCTCGGTTCCATCATTCCACCCATACGCATACACACAGGCACTCACATCCATACTAACACATCGAACGAGGACATATTGTCACTTCCGCTTCCGTCATTAACACATCCGGATGTGTTTGTATTCAACGGAAGCGTGCAGGCTGCGGTCGGAGCGTTTGGGGCTCATGTCACACAATACTCCCTGGCTTTCAGTCTCAGCTCTCAGTTCCTATCTCCAAATGAGTCTCTGCCGCTGCTTGCTCCTGGCATAGAGATTGTCCCTTATCCCCTATCCATTATTCCCATCACTGACCTCGTACTTATGGAATTTAGGAACACCTTGCATTCGGGGAAATGATATATTAGTTCTACCAGTAGAACTCTACACCAGTACGATATACCATTTTGTTGGATGTCCACAGTAATGGAGATAAATAACTCTTTTGGCTCCAATCAACATAAAATCCTTGCAATTTGATAAATATAGGCGGCAAAGCTGATATAAATACAAGTTTTCCTTAAATTATGCGATTATCGGGAAATACAGTGGAATCAATCACTTTGATAATATCTTCAAAGTGATTGATTCCACTACCGATCCGGAAAAACTTTTTGCAATTAGGTAAATAAAAGCCCCGAGGTTTACTTGTATTATACATCCCGATCAGCGGGTAGCCTCTAGTCTATCAGCCCAAGAAAATTTTTTGTTTCCACATTTCCCCTCCAAGGCGCTTGTTCGTTGTTCGATGTCGTTATTGTTGCTGTTGTTGTCGTTGTCTCTATTGTTGGTGTTTTTTGTATCTTTTTTCGCTTTCGTTTGTCGTTGTAGTGATTTGTTTGGATTTCTCGTTATTTATTTGTTGCACTAGACAACACAAATCTATTTTGATTTATTCATTCACGCACTTATGTACAGTTTTCAAACCGATGCTTGCTTTTCACCATCCCGGACACACACACCACACCCATACACACCCACAAGTCCACGCACACCACCACATGGCCACACAGACAATCGTTCCCACAATTCCACACAGCACTCACAATCATACCAGCGCTCCCACTTCCACCTTCGCCAGTAAGGCCACACCAGTGAAAGGTTTCTCTGAAATGGATGCGATCCCCGTGGCAATCGGCACAGGACAAATCCACATCCCAGCATCCGAGCTATGCAAGTTAAAATTATGCAAATTATTGATTTTATACCATCTGGAAGGAGCTCCTGCACAAGTTCCCTTCACTGTCTGCACACACCACTGAGAAAAAGCTTCAAAACCATTAACCGTTTTTTTCTAAAGATTAATGAGGTGAGATTGGTAGATGAGAGTGCGACTTAAATGAATTGAAATGGGAATTTTCAGTGCCAAAATCTACATTATTATACATAACGCTCTTCTTTGGAAACATCTCATCACATCCGTATCGTTTTTGGAATAAACCTTAAAGAAAGAAAAAAATAGATGAAATAGTATTTCCTAGTATTCCATTGATCACGCATTATAGCTCAAGCTTGAATATACAGTCAACCGTCATCAATATTATCCATGGTAATTTACAAAGATACGATAGCAGTCGTATATAGATATATTGGATACGTCCAAAAAAAGTTTATTATGTTTCAAAAATGGCGAAGGCTATAGTACTGAAAGCTGGTTGATGGCTTTGCTATCATGAAACAATCTTTGTTTCCAAAATGAACCTCGCTTACAGCGAAAATCCGCTAGTTTTAAAAAGGTGGTTAGAAAACTGATGTTTTCGATTTTTATACGACCACGACAAAAGACTACCCAAGAAGCTAACGCCTCAAAAAAACTTCTAATGGAATACTTAAGCCGCCAAAAGAGCGGTACCGTTAATCTATTGAATTGATACATTCTTCATTCCAGATGCAGAGTGAAGAGTATTTACTCTAGACTTCAGATCAGATGGGGCATCTGATTTCGATGTTCTATTCAACATTTTAGAGCGCTCTTTTTCGCAGTTTACACATGCGTGCGTGAGCTCCTTTCAATATCAATAGCTCAATTGTATGGCCAGGACATCTCTATCGCTTTGTTATTGGAGTTTTTATCGCTGTTCTCAATGGTCGAGAAGGACAAACTGAACGCGCCACGGAATCCATCTTTGTCAGCTGGCGCAGTACAGCTGTAATTATTATATTGTGTACGAGTATATTCGACTTCAGTTACTTGCAGTCACCTGCAGGTGAATGCAGCCCCCATAACCCAGCCCCACAGGCATCACAGCTATTATCTCCGTATCAATATCGATATCAATATATGATATACTACATAGATATAAATTATCAAAATATTATACATCTATTCGCACATTATTGCCTACAAAATTGTGCTTAAATAAGTTCTATGAGTTCTTTGATATTTTAGTAAGAACAAATTAGGGTATCCCCAACGGCTATAGCTCTAGGTCACAACCCAGCTTCTGTCGAGAAGGCGTGGAGCAGCGTAAAGCAGTGTTTGGCCCCGAAAGTTGCATGATTGATGACCCGGCTTGCGTAGCAAGCCAAGCCGATGTTGAAAAGTTACTCACCAAAAAGTTTAATGAAGCTAGCAGGGGCGGGGGTTGTATGATCAATCTGGGGATACCACTCACCATACCCGTACTGTTTTTGAGATTTTTGGTGTCCTCCCCGAACAACACCGCATGACACGCATGAATATGAAGCTACTCCAACTAATCAACTAACCATCTAACCAACTAAAAAATTGCAGAATGCTCCAAGACTACTTCTTTGCATTGTTTGCAGAACCGAAAGAACTGAAAACTTTTTGACTTTAGGGATGCCCCTTTTGCGAAGGATTAACATGTAACTCCTCGTTTTCTCTCCACCGAACAGGTCACATGCGACCCTCGTCGCCACTGCTGGACTCGGTCCGGGATCAGTTTGAGGACTACGATCAGCTGGCAAAGGACTTCACCCGCGTGTTCCTCAACGAGGAGCCATCATGCTTGAGCAACTCTCACCTCTTCGACGTGGTTTTCCTGGTGGGTCAATCCAAGCAGAAGGCACGCTTCATTGGAGTCCGGGCCATTCTGGGCGTACGCAGCCGCGTCTTTCAGGTGAGCATCCTTACATTTTGTTCCCAGTGTGGAACTGATTGCAAGCCTGTTTCCAGGAGATGCTATATGGCATCCAGACAGGCTTCGGATCGCCGCAGATACCCGTCGCGGAGATTTTCGCCCGCCCTGCACCGTCGTTGGTGTCGCCACAGAATCAGAAGCCGAAGAGTAACAACTATCTAACGGTGCCGGACTCGGACTCCATACGTCCCAAGAGCGTGCCCTCGTCACCGATGGTGAAGCGGGCGTTCTCTCGCCTGGGGACCATCACGGCTGGATGGGGTCGTTCGATTCGGAATAAGAACTCGAACCAGTTGAATCCGGATGACAAGAAGAAGTGGATCTCGTCGACAGATTGTTCGAGTAAGGGTTCTCATTCAATGCAATGCAACAATATCGATGCGTGTTTTTCTTTTCTTTTCTCTCCGATCTCCCTTTTGTTCTCCGCTCTCTCTCTCTCTCTCTCTTATGCGTCCTTTTTACGTCCTCGTTTCTTCGTTCTCCGTCATATCACTACCCACCAAACTAAAACTTAAACTAAATTCTGCAAAATACTCTTTTGTGATCTTCGAACGTTAAACAAAATTTGCATCCTTGAACCACATATGAAAAAAATACGAATGCTAATACGCACGTCGCACACTTTAACCTCCAACCGCTCTACGTATAAATATTACCCAATATTTACCGAGCTATATATACCTTATATATATACGTACATGCAATATAAATACGCCCCAATGGAACTCGTGGACGTCCTGTACTCTAACACTATTAATCTATCTTATGTTAAATTTCTCTATTGACTGTACCAATGGCGAATCATTTATTTTCGCTGCATCAACATTATTATTAATATGCATCCCAATATGATTGGCTAATCCCTCACTCGACTCCATTTGTCTTGCATTTGTGCATTGAATGTCACTGTAAATTCCAATATTCAACCATAATCATAATCTACCATTACCCATATGATAATATATTAATGAATCGTTCATCGAACTCTTAAAATATTTTGCCTGACCAAATTTCTTCGAGATACTTTTAATTTCCGAACTTTTGCATATTATTTCTGCACAACTGTTTTGTTTGTTATATATTTTTTCTTTATATATTTTAATAAATTCTTAAAATCTATACGAAATGTTCATTCCACTTTTTCTTAATTTTTTACCGTTGTAAATGTGCACCAATATTTTAATTATTTACCGCACCACAACCTGTTTGCACCTGGGACTACTTTTGGGATAAAATTCTGACCATTGGTTAACACTCACCGTGTTTTCACTCTGTTTCCATCTTCGTCTCTCTTGCTATTGTGTATATATATTTTGTTAATTTATTGATTTAACTTTATCTTCGTTCAACAAACAAATTGAATTCAAATAAAACAACAAACAAAATTTTGTCATCTCTCTCATCTCACGTGACTCGGCAACCGCCTCACCACTCTCGCCCACGCCCACGCCTTCGCCTCAATCCGATTAAAACTATTTATTTCCCTAATTATTTCTTAATGATCCACATAAAAAATCAAACAAAAAATATGCTCCATGGAATTCGGTTCGATTTTGTTTTATTATTTTCAAACTTTGATTTTCGATCGATTCTTGGACCGATACCGAAACTTAAACCAATACCAATACCGATAAAAAACAATCACAATCCCCAACAATGAATCGCGTCGATCATCGGCGAGTACAGATAGGGACAGCAAGGACAAGGACAAGGACAAGCCGGGCAACAACCAGCTGGCGGTACCGCGGCTCTCGGTCTGTGCCGACGCTCAGAAGGTGGACCGGGCCAAGCTTGCACAGACGGAGTTCAACATCATCGAATTTGATCCGGACACATTTCGTGTCCTCCTCGACTATCTGCACACGGGCACTTGTCCTCTAACCTGTGTTTCAATACCTGGTAAGTCAATGTGGAGCGCCAGATGATGCTTGTGAGAAATTTTTTAGGAAAACGGAACACACAAGCTCAACATTGATTTTTATTTCGCAGGGCTGCTGTGTGCCGCAGAGCACTACGATCTGCCGGAGCTTCTTCAGGCGTGCTTCCACCACTGCAAGCAGTTCCTACGCATCGAGGTGGTTTGCCCGATGCTCATCTCGCTGGAGAACTACTACTGGCGCTACACGTCCGCCTCCGAGCTGGTCAACATGATCCTGTCATTTGTGGAGAGCAAGGCGCACGCCCTATTTAAGTGCCCAGAGTTTCTCCATCTGTCCGAGTCGATGGTGCAGATGATCATGTGCCGGGAGCTTCAGACCCCGGAGATCCGTAAATTTGAGGCGATGCTCGCCTGGGCCCAGCACAAGGTGGCCAAGCTGAAAAACCACCCCAATAAGGACACCCAGTTCGAGTTCGAGTGTATCATGGAGAGGCTGACCCGCGACCTCAACCTCTGCCGCATATCGCCCAGCGAGCTGCTCACCGTTGTCCTACCCTCCAAGTCAATGAAGAACGAACGCATCATGGAGACGCTCATGGTGCAGGTGAACCTTGGCACCTACCGCATGCCCGAGCTAGATGCCTACCGTCAGCAGTTACGCCAGCAGGAGTCCGCCGAGGCCACCGTGCAAGTCCACCGGGGTGGATGAGATAGTAAGAATGTGAGCTTCGATTTGGACCAGCAGCCGCTCGGCGCCATCGCAGCCACAACCAACATGGATGCGGGCGCCGGGGCCGGTGCCTGTGGTGGTGCTATCACCGCGCCCTCTGCCTCAGGAGTCTACCCGCCAAACGATGTCCGAGCTTATGCAATGGCCTCCCTGGCCGCCGCCCTCGATATGCAGCAACAGCAGACCCAGCAGCGTGACGCCACCGACGAGGAGGTGGAACTCTATGCAAGCTTCGACATGGGGCCGAGCACTAGCCGGGTGGCGGCCCAGATGCAGGCGGCCAAGGAGGCTCGTCGAAAGCGGTGGGCGACCGATGGGGCCAGCGGGAGCAGCGGCGATGGTGGCTGTGCCAGTGGCAGCAGCGGAAGTGGTCGGCGCTAATGAATATCGAAGCGAGTGCGTGTGGATATGTGTGTGCCTCTGTCTATGCCTGTTTCTGCATCTGTGTGTGTGGGCGTATATGCGTCTGTCCAATAAGTGTATTTCCCTGTATGCCTGTGTGTGCGTGTGAGTCTATCCCACCGCTAAGAGGAGCCCGAACCATCCAAATCGAAACTGACATTGTTAACTCTTACATTCACCCCGCAAAAGACTTGAGGTTATGTCCATGAACGGATTGGGGATTGAGAATGATTGATTGATTGAACAGAGAGGCTATTTTTTGCAAGTATTACCGTTATCCCCCTTCCTCCTCCCGTATATATGCATATGAATGTATGTCCTAGGCTGGTACTATATCTAGTTTTTTAAGACTCCTTCCACACACACGCTGTGGCATTCGATTTTTGATGGCCACAATCGAAAAACAAAACCGCTATGTATCCGAGAAGAAAGAGCTCTCGATGCGGAATCGGAATAGAAGAAGAAAAACCAAGAAAGGAAACGCTTACTGATGTAAAACAAAGACTTAAAACTTAAAGAAATTAAACCAAAATGTAACCAACCAGAGCATAAACAATTTTTTTTATCGATGTTATTATTGGAAAAAGTAAGCAGAAGAAAATGATACCAAAAAAAAAAAAACACCTCACTATCCCTAATTATCCGCGTACCCTGTAATCCCCTCCAAAAATAAAACAAAAAAAAGGCCCATAGAATACAAGGCAAGTAACGGATGAAAATTTCTATAAGATTAACTAATTATAAGTCGAAATTGAAGTAAAATCTTATTTCATTTTGTTACATTTTTTGAAGGTAGCTACTACTAACGATGTTCTACCGTGTTAGAGATGAGAGATACAATAGTACCCTGAAAACCCGGCATGCCCTGTGCTGTACATATGCAGAAGCGTAAGTCCAGTACATAGCATGCCCTTTATACTCACAATGTACATTAGATATACATATTTATATATACTACATATACAGAGTAATTTAAAGGATATACCTTACCCCCACATATATACATTTGAGCAAAAATGTATAGAGTTCAGCGACTCTCAACTGTAAAGATACCACAATATTTGTTCGTACTACGAGAACCAGAAACCGCATACCACTACCCACATTAGCCTAAGCATACGAACAATAGCTAGATATTATATGTATATTCCCCAAATATAGTGCTGGCTTAGGGCAGCTCTTTTGCGAACGCCCAGAACCTAAAAATCCAATACTCCAAATTGATACCAAGACGACAAATTTAGAGAATTCCTCTAAAATATAGTCACACGCATACATTGGGACAGGCTGAAAATAGCTCTGAAACTCTATAAAACCCATAAAAGAGGTCCTCAGAAAATTTACACCAACCAACACTAAGGAAAACCATGTTTACAATATGAATAATCCCCAAAATATCTCTGTAATATATGAGAGTCAATAGAACCTTAAACACTGAAACAATCTTGCAGATATAAGTTACAGAATATTTGTAGAATATTCCCCTAAGGGATACAGCAAACATGGGCGTAGCCAGTTTTCGACGATGGGAAGGGCTAAATCTTATAATATTTTACTTTGTTAAAAAATGTACCTTGGGTCATGACGGAATTCCTAGTAATTCTATTTCACATGATTCTCGGATGAAATTCGAGTTTTCCGAGAGCGGAAAAAGGATGGTATCTCATTCATAATATCTTCCAAATCTATGAGCCATGTCCTTACGTTTTAAATTTGATTTTTGTGAGAAGAATTGAGTTTTCGAAAATTTTTAAGTGTCAAGAAATGGCACAAAGAGCACCAAAGATCATTGAATGCTTTTGTATATTAGAAACATGAAATTGTATAATCTCTAAAATTTGCCTATGATCGGCGTATCTATGAATATTATAATTATTTGCTTGATTGATGTTCGCTAAATGTTCACAGAATTAATGTAAATTTTGATTATCTTTTGGCAAATGATATTCAATGACAATCTAAGAAAATCATAATCTTTGCTTGATTGATTTTCACCAGGGGTCAAAATATCAGCTATTTGGATCTCAAAATGACATTTTGGTTACAAGGGATCGATCAATGTCCTTCAAAGAGTTACAAATGCCATTTAGGTTAAAATAGAGTTGCAGCCATACTTCTAGCAGTAAGGAGTATTAAATGTTGTCTTTTATATCATTAAAAATCCATTTCTTAGATAGGACCCCTTCCCCTTGGCTACGCCCTTCTATAGCCTCACTAAAAACCGGACAAATTACATCCTGAAATGCACCCGGAAAACTACATACTCAAATACACCCGGGAAAATACTGTAAATTTTCGATTACACGCGGTAATACCACGCAAGAGCGCTAGATGTACCAAACGAGCAAAACCTTCTCATAGGGCTCTAAGATACATAATTATCTTATAGAATAGTAAAAAAAAGCCGCTCAAATACTAAGTAACCCTCTGCCCATATACAACATCTGGCAGATACCCCTTAACAACCTCTGTAAGAATCCACAAACAAAATTTATGTCGCGATAATAAGATCATTGAACCCCTTACAAAAATAAAAATAACAAAAATTTTAAAAGAGCATCTGAAGACAATTCACAAAACAATGCAAACATACATCCATAGTATTTAGGAACATCCGAATTAGAAACCCATAGATAAGATTGTCAAGAAAACGTACTGTTAACCAAACTTGGTTCAGTGTCGCTCTTTCAAATTTTTACGCTCAATGAATGTCAAGGATTTTGGGGAAAGTGCAAGACGATCTTGATATATTCCTCCAACACACACTACTACAGACAGTCTAAAGAGACCATTTGAAGACTTTAGAGGAAACTACATATATGTTCTTACAAAAGCCCTTACCAGCAGTTTTGAAACACACTGCATTGCTTACATTTATCTCAGTCCCCCAATTACAGACAGAGCAACTTCAATTAAGAAAACTTGGCAATACATAGACATATGTACATATGTACAGTTTGTGGCCAAGACGGTAAAGCAAAGCAAATTCTAAACAAAGAGAAAACTAAATGTAAACGGCAGCATTTCCGAAAGGGTTTCACATAAATGTTCAAAGTCGCATATATCAAAATTCAATATCTACACAAAAACTATATTATACCACAGAATTTGTTACGAAACCATGAAAAAGTGTATTGCCTGAAACACACTGAGAAGCTTGGAAAAACTCTTGTAAAATCCTAAGCAAACAAACTAGACAGTAAACAAAAAACCGAAACCAACACCAAACAGCAAACACTAATTAAACGCTTTCAATGTGAACAAATAGTTCTAATTAAACCAGATACAAAATACCCAAACTATACAGAAATAGATTCATATGTATGTGTGTGTGATAGTATATATCAAAAAAGTCAGAACAGTACATTAGAACTTTGATCCGAAAGGGCAGAACTAACGTAGGGGATCGGTAACGGGACAGAACAGAACAGAACGAACTTTGACGAGTTTTTTATAGGTGTGTGTGTATGTGTGTTTTCAATGCAAAATAGTTCCAACGCATCGTTGGATTAAAGTAGCATACGTCACGCAAAAAAGGCCTGTTATCTGTGACGGACGAACATTAATGATCATATTCACATTCAAGCAAAAGAAAACGACTGTTGACGGTGATAAAGACGGAACATAGTAGCCGAGTAATCTCAATTTTTATAAAAAATATCGGACGAAAATTGGGAATCCAGTGACCAAAACAAATAAAATGGGGACAAATGGGAACAACTAAACAGACCGACTCTGACAAAGACGGTAGAAAAATGTCTAGGAATGGATGTTTTGGAACGAAGCAAGGTTCATTTCCAACCCAAAGCCACGATATTGTGGAAATAGAACTTATCATAGAACGCATTGTGAATGAGACCAGACGACGAACAGTCCACTCAGAATAAACATATACATACAATATGAAATAGTTATACAATACGACAGTTGTTGGCGTTTTTTTTTTTTGGTGTTTTATGTGTGATTAATCTACAGATAAATAGCAACCGATATCAATACAATGGAAATATACATAGCTGTATTTTAACTGTCTATCGACTTGTCGAGCAAAAATAACTGTTTGAACTGAATGTATTGATGTATTTACCGTTTACCATAGAAAGCTGAAGAGCATAACCGAAAAGACGAGCGGGGAGCAATGCATCGCTAAAACCACAAAACATATATTTACATGAATTATTTGGAGCAGACGAGTTTCTAAGTATTTTTTGTGCCGTGCTAACCGAAACTACTCACAACTGCTGTCACGGCCCCAAAATCTCGGACTTGCCGGGATTCAGCCTGGTCTGTCCTGTCCTGTATTGACCTTTGTGGACTGCGAAAGTTGTTTTGCCCATAGACAAGAGGACAGGGCAGAGCAGGCTCCTCCGCGACACACTTTTGATATCAAAGCCCCAAAACCAAACTCCGTGCAAAGCCGCGACTCCTTTTGAGCTGATCTGGAAACAGATCTACAATCTGTCAGATATACGAAACGAGAAAAAACTATAAAAAAATGTTTGTTAAATAAGAAAACACAAAACTCAATTGATTTGCAGAATTATGCAGAAGCTTAATAAATGTTGTAATTGCCAGAGCCATGCAAAACATAAAAACACGTAACGTAACAAAAAAATAATAAAAACTAAGAAAACTTATACATTAAAATGTTTTCTTATTGGTTTAATTTTGGGACTATTAAGTGATTTAAATGATGAGCCATAACTTGGTTATTCGACTGCATGCGTGTCAACGATTTCAGCAGCAAAAAATATTTCTAAATTCCGTAGTATACTTATTAACATATGTACGTATAATCAAGAAACTTCTTATTTGGGTGCCCAGCCATCAAGGCATTTTCGGTAACGGAAACGCTTCCTTCTGAGCGTCACACTCATCCACTTTCCCTACAAATCTAATATACCCCTATACACTTTTTGAGTATCGGGTATAAAAAAGGAAATTCTAGCAGGGGGGGGCAATAATATTGGCGAAAGAAATAAAAATCATAGCACAGCCGAACAAAAAAAGGGTATATGGGATTTGTGGTTTTTTTTTTTTGTTTTT